TGCTCTTAACCACTGAGCCATCTCTCCAGCCCTATTATTATCACACCTACTATGTATTCGCCCTTTGTTAGGTTTGAACTGATAAGATGAACAAGATGCTGCCAGATGTGGAGGTGCAGGCTTTTAATCCCAGCACTTAAGGCTAGCCTGGTCTACATAGCAAGTTCCAGGTTAGCCAGGGCTACATAGTGAAACCCTGTGTCTTCTTTTTCCTGGAGACAGGGATTCCCTCTGAAGCCCTGGCTGTCCTGGAACTCACAGAGACCCACCTGCCTCTGCCTCCTGAGTGCCAGGATTAAAGGTGTGCACCACCACCGCCTGACTGAAACCCAGTTTCAAGAACAAACAGAACAAAAATATGCATTCATTCAGGCTTACGACATAGGAAAAATTTTGTTCTCCTGACAGTATTTATTTTTATTTATTTATTTATTTGCAATGCTGGGAATCAAACTTTGCACATAGTAGTAAGTACATGCTCTATCAATGACCTATGCCCACAGTCCACCTGGCTAGGTACTGAAAGCGGTGATGTCATAGATGGGTCTCTCTTTTTTTTTTTTTTTTTAAAGGCGTGTGCCACCATCGCCCGGCCTCTTCTTTTTTTTTAAGATTTATTTCTTATGTATACAACATTCTGCCTCCATGTTTGCCCACACGCCAGAAGAGGGTGCCAGATTTCATTACAGATGGTTTTGAACCACCATGTGGTTGCTGGGAATTGAACTCAGAACCTCTGGAAGAGCAGCCAGTGCTCTTAACCACTGAGCCATCTCTCCAGCCCTTTTTTTGGTTTTTCGAGACAGGGTTTCTCTGTGGCTTTGGAGCCTGTCCTGGAACTAGCTCTTGTAGACCAGGCTGGTCTTGAACTCACAGAGATCCGCCTGCCTCTGCCTCCCAAGTGCTGGGATTAAAGGTGTGCGCCACCACCGCCTGGCCATAGATGGGTTTCTGTCTCAAGTGTAAAGTGTGTTTGTTGGAGGCAGGATGGGGGGGGATGATAGAGGACACCAGGGCTGTGGCAAAGATTAACACTGGAGTGTGATTAAAGGAGGCAGTGCCAACCTGGGGAGGCAGGTGGCATTTGGACAGGGTTTTTCCTTTTTGTGAGACAGTCTTGCCTGCAGCTTGCTGCTTCATCCTTTTGAAGGTAGGATTTTTAAAACTTTATTTTCAAATAATGTATTTTTTATGTGCATTGGTATTTTCCTTGCATGTTTTTGTCTGTGTGAGGGTATTGGATCTCCTGGAACTGGAGTCGCAGACAGTTGTGAGCTGTCACATGGATGCTGGGACTTGAACCTGGGTCCTCCGGAAGAGCAGACAGTCTTCTTAACCACTGAACCATCTCTCTGGCCTGCTTGTTTTTTGAGATAGAACCTTCCTAATGTAGCTCAGCTAGTCTGGAATGCACTGTAGTCCAGGCTTGCCGCCTATTTGCGGCAGCCGTCCAGCGTCAGCATCGCGAGTGCTGTGATTGATTCGAGGTGTGCTCTATCATACCCAGCTGCTGTGGATGGAAATGTTTAAAGGATTTTAACCAGCAGCAGGGCCTAAGGAAAGCATTTCAGGCTGAGAACAGCCCTCATTCACCCCCCCCCTTTCATAGTTGCATTACTATCCCTGAAGTTCAAACTAACCAACCCTTTCTTCTTTTTCTTTTTCTTGTAGGGAGGCTGGGACTAGGCACCAGGGAGTCCCATAGCTGCCCCCAGCAGGTGCCTGTGCCCCTAGGACAGGAAGCTCAGAGAGTTGTTTGTGGTATTGACTCTTCCATGATCCTCACCTTGTCTGGCAAGGTCTTGGCCTGTGGAAGTAACAGGTAAGTAGAGGCATCAAAGTGATAGGCCTGCCTTCCTACAATACTTGGCTTCAAAGTGTTTCATTCCTTATTGTCTCCCTCCTTCAAGGGATCAGAACTAAAGAGGGATGAAACTATTTGTTTCAACTCAGGGTAGGATCTATTTCTGGATGGGACAGGTCCTAGCAATCCCCCCCCCCCCCCCCCCCCCCCCCCCCCCCCCCCCCCCCCCCCCCCCCCCCCCCCCCCGCAGACTCATGGGCAAAACCTCTAGATTCTGGCTCCATCTTTAGGTTCAACAAGCTAGGCTTGGACCACCTCTCCCTGGAGGAGGAGCCTCTTCCCCACCAGCAGGTGGAGGAGGCCCTGAGCTTCACACCCCTGGGCTCTGCACCTCTGGACCGGGAGCCCCTAATGTGCGTGGACCTGGGCACTGCTCATTCGGCTGCGGTGACTGGTGAGTGGGACCCAGGCACTGAAGACCGAAGGGGGATTCGCCTGCCCCCCCCCCCCAGACTTCTGTTCAAGTGCTCTTTATTTTCTTCTTGTCCCACAGTCTCCGGTGACTGCTATACTTTTGGCAGCAATCAGCATGGGCAATTGGGCACCAGTTCTCGCCGCATCAGCAGGGCGCCCTGTCGGGTCCAAGGCCTAGAGGGCATCAAGATGGTGATGGTGGCCTGTGGGGATGCCTTCACTGTAGCCATTGGGGCAGGTGAGGGTGCACAGGGTAAGGGTGGACAAGGCAGGATGTGCTGGGTTATGTTCAGTTCCTTCCCTCTGGAGACGTTTTTTACTGTCCAGTGTTTTGCCGCTTGCTTAGACTGTACCCACTCTTTTGAATTCTTGGCAGAGGGGGAAGTGTATTCTTGGGGCAAAGGAGCCCGCGGTCGACTGGGAAGGAGGGATGAGGATGCTGGACTCCCTAAGCCAGTGCAGCTGGATGAGACTCATCCTTATGTCGTGACTTCAGTGTCCTGCTGCCATGGGAACACTCTCCTGGCTGTTAGATGTGAGTCGTGTGTGTGTGTGTGTGTGTGTGTGTGTGTGTGTGTCCGTCCGCATGACCATGGGGGGCTGACCCAGCTCTCCTCCACTCCCTACCCCATCTTTAGTAATCACAACTCAAATTTCCCAGAGCAGTCTTCTGCCCCCAGAAAAGTGAAAGCAGAACCAGTGGGGACTAGGAAAGGGATGTGTAAAACACCAAGTTTCCAGCCCGGGGAGCAGGAGCTGCCTGGAGTGCTCTCCAGGCCTCACTTGAATTATTTCTTCTAATCTGTCCTGGATCCAGTTGATATTATATGTCCACTTCTGGCCTGGCAGGAGGGTTTGGGCTCCAGGGCTCAGTGAGATCAAAGATGGGTGATGATTGCTGTAGGCACTGCCTCCAGCAAGGCTGCAGGAGCTTCTCTTTGATACTCTCCAGCGGTTGCAGAGGAGCCCGTTCCCCCCTGAGGCAACAGGATTATTGAGAGACCACCTCTGAGTGTTCTGAAAAATGCAGGTGTCTGAGAAGACTGCTGCGGCCTGGATGGTGTCACCAGTGAGGTGGAAAGGCCACCGAAGGCCACTTTGCTCCGCCAAGCCTCTGCCCCCAAACTCCTTATCTTTTACGCAGTGTCTCCAGGCTGGCAGGAATTAACAGCAGGACGGTCTTCAAATACTTTGCTAAAAAAATCACACACACACACACACACACACACACACACACGCACGCACGCACGCACGCGCACGCCTGCCTGGTTAGGAAGAAGTCTCTGGCGGTGTCCTGATGCCATGCTTTGGACTAGGGCAAGCCAGGGCCTGTTTGGACTGGCCGTTAGGCTACCTAAAATTTGCTTAGCTTGAGGTCGGAGGGGGTCCCCTTTTCTCTTTCCTGGGGCAAAGGTTTGCTCAACTTCTGAGAGGGCCCCCCCCTCCCCCCAAGAAGGGAATGCTGGAGTTGTTGAGTGGTTGCCAAGGGGATCCTGCTGAAGGTTGTCCCTCACCCCAGGTCATTTCCCAGACCTAGACTGGGGAAAAGGTAGCAGGGCCAGACCCGACCAGTTTCTTAAAGGTTTGAAAATAGCGCCAATAAAAATATCAAATGCCTGCTTGGCATATGGTCTTTTCTGGGGTGGAGGTGGCCTCCAGACACCCCAAGACTGGGCTGGGTCCGACTGTGGTTGTAGGGCAGCGGCCAGGAGGAATGTGGGCGCAGTCAGAGCTGGAGGCGGGGGCCAAGGTTCCGCTGGCCCAGCGCCCAGCCCAGTTTCCTTGCTCCAGCCGGGTTTTCTCGGATCCTGTTGCCAGGCTTCGCTGCCTAGCACCTGGAAGCTAGAGCCACAGGTCCCTGGGCGGTGCGTGGTGCAGGAGACCTTAAGGTGGCCTCTAGAGTCAAGTGTTATGGTGCGACCCGACAGGCACCATCACAGCGCAAGGGGCCTCCACTTCTGGAAGAATCTCAGCCACGCTCTCAGTTCCAACGGGAAAGAGAAGCTCCAGCTTCCGGGGGTGGGCGAGGCAGATTTAACTTTTGAAGCCTGGCAGAGTCCTGAGAGCGACCGCATTCTGTGGGGTTGTGGAGTGGGCGGGGCGCGAGGGCGGGCTCTAGGACCGTGGGGACGCGGCTCCGCCCCCTCTTCCGGCGGGCGGGGTTGCGGACCCGGGCCGCTCGCGGCCGCCAGTCGGCACCGCCCGCAGCCGGGGGAACGCGGCCGGAGCGAGGCGCGGGCTGTGGGGCCGCCGCGTGCCCGGCCCCGCTCGCCCGTGCCCGCCGCCAGCCCGCCATGCCCGGCTTCGACTACAAGTTCCTGGAGAAGCCCAAGCGGCGGCTGCTGTGCCCACTGTGCGGGAAGCCCATGCGCGAACCTGTGCAGGTGTCTACTTGCGGCCACCGCTTCTGCGACACCTGCCTGCAGGAGTTCCTCAGGTGCGAGCCCGGGGGGCGGTGGGCCTCGGTGCAGGGGGCGAGGGCACGGACCGGAGACACGTCGGGCCTTTGTCTGCGCGGCCGCCCGGTGACCTCAGGAGCGCCCACCATGATGTCAAGGGGCGGCAGTGACGTCAGGGCTCTGGGGAGGACCCCACGCACCCAGGCGTAAGGTCGCCCGGGTCCTACCTGCCCAGCTCCAGGTGGGAAAGACGCCCTTCCCGACCCGTGGCCGGCCCTTCCCCCCCCCCCCCCCCACCTGAGCCCGGGCGGCCGCAGCCTTGAACTTTGAATCCTTTTGGGAAGGGAAGGACAAAGCCTCTCCCGCGCCTGCCAGCCTGGGGAGTTTTCACCCGTCCCTCCTCTTACTCTCTCTGACGCTGAGAAAGCGGCCGCTATTGTTCTCCCATTTCTCGGAGACGGAAAGAAAGGCTGCCATTTGCCCAGGGTCACACGGTTGAGGTCTTAGCTGGGAATCCAGCCCGGGCTGTGTGTGGTCACTCAGCAGAGGTTGGCCTGTGACCTGCAGCCCTCCCCGCCTCTCAACTGGAAGCCCTCCTTGGGGTCTTGAGTATGACGGATGATCGGGCACACTGGCGAAAGGGGACTTGTTCCCGGGTTGGTACAGCATGTCTCTTGCTCTCTCAGGACCCTTGCCGCCTCTGGCAGCCGTCACAATTCTGGGAACCCTGTGCGGACTTGAGTCTCCTGCCGCTGAGGGCTGCGGCGTGGGAGGGGAGATCGGGGAAGCCTCGACGCCTGGAGAGGTGCCGCGGTCCGAGGGGGACTGGCAGGGACTGGTGTGGGACTTGTGCCTCAGTGCCCCATCCCGCTGCCCTCCGAAGATCCTGGCTGGCGGAAATCTCAGCAGGCTCTTTGTTTTTTGTTCCTAGCAGCCGCGGGCTCCTGCTCGCACATATGCTCCTGCTCAAGCTGCTGTGCTACCCCCTCCTCCCTTCTCCCCCTCCCTCCTCCCTGCAATGTACACACTTAACTCCTCTACAGACACACGGGCCCATTGTCTCCTCAGCTCCCTTCCTGGCCCTCTGGTTTCCAGATGAGGCCAGCTGAGCCAGCCCCCTCCTCCAGCTGACCCACCCTTATTGCCTCGGGGAAGGAGCCAGGAGGGGCTGTCAGGCTCACTTCCCTCCTCCTTCACCTCCTTCTCAGTCCCCTCGAGGCTGATTCTGCCCCTCCTCCTCCCGGAAATCCCCTCTTCCTCTCCCACTGCCCCCTCCCCCCATCCTGTCTTCTCCCCTGGGCTTGGGCCTGCACTGCTCAGCCTGGAGCAGCCTCTGCCTTCTCCCCTCCCCCATAGATCGAGTGTTTCGTGGCCACTGGAGGTGGTTGAGCAGGCTCTACCCCCCCCCCATCACCCCTATCCTACAAGTTAGGTTGTCCATAGCCTTGGCCAAACCTTTGTCCTGGCTGGGCCCCAAGCTTCGGGATAAGCCTCTGCCTGAAGCCTAGGGACTCGCCTTAGTCCCCTTGTCTCCAAAATCACTGGGTCAGCACATTCCTGAAGCAGCCAAGTGGACCCCCTCCCCCTTGGTCCACTCTTCTTTCCCCACTCCTGCTGAAGCCAGAAAGGCTGCTAGCCCTGTAGTTGTAGGCATACCTGTTTGGTGCCTGAGCATCCAGGGCATGGCCAGTAGTGGTGGGGCCAAGAGAAGGTGCTAGGGGGTGGACTGGGCACCTGGGGTATGGACTGCCCAGGCTCTGGAAAGTGCTTTCACAACAGGGCTGCCAGGTAGCCTCAGCTTCCGCCTTGAGGCCTGCCTGCCTGCCTCCCGCCTACCTGACTCAGATCTGCCAGGAATGCCATGCCTAGGGGCCTCTGCCTTGCTCTGGGAGCCCTTGTCTTGCCTGGGCTGTGACAGTCCGTGTGTGACAGGTCTTGTTGGGGTCAGCTAGGGCATACTGGCAGGAAGAAGCATGTTACCAGGTTCTGGGTATTAATATCTGGGTGGAGACTGGGGGGAAGGGGACAGGATAGCTGGCACAGGTTGGGGGTCACCAGGTTTTAGAAGCCTTGCCTGTCCTTAGAGCCTGTCTGAACTGTATAGTTGCTACTGACAGACGTCCCCAGGTGCTGCTTCGCTAGGGAGCCTGGGGTTTTTTCCTTGTTTTTTCCTTCTCTGAGCAGGGACTCTAGCCCTTAGGTGATGAAGGCAGGTGGGATGTGAGGGCTGGTGTGAGTTAACTAGGACCAAAGGCCTCACTTTCCTCACTTTAGGAGCACACCCTCAGAGAGGAGATGGGTGGTAGAGTGGCCTCAAGATGACCTTTGCCCTTGTTCTAGGCCTGGCACAGTCATGGAGGCTGGGTAGCCCTGGCATTTATCCAAGCCCATCCTTGTACACCCTCCCATCAGCTTTCAGAATGGCAGTGAAAACCATTTTGGGGGAAGGGGGTGGCAGGCTGCCTGTTTCTTTCAAGTCCAGCTGCTGTCACGGGGGAGGGGGGATGCCAGCTGCCACCTGTTGGGTGAGTGCTGCCTGAGGCAGCTGTGTCTGTCCGCACTGGAAGTAGAATAGCCTTTGTGGGTAGTCCAGCGCCCTTGAAAAGCGGGTCCTTCTGACCTCTGCTTTCCGCTTTGTCTTAGCTGTGGCTAGCTAGGAAGGGGCCTGGCAAGGGAGGGTGGGGACCCTGATGGAGGGAGTGAGGCCTAGGGCTTGAGGAACATTGATTGACCCTCCCTGCCTTCTCCCCTTTCAGTGAAGGAGTCTTCAAATGCCCTGAGGACCAGCTTCCTCTGGACTATGCCAAGGTGAGTCCACACTGCGAGGTTGGAAGTCTGGGTACATAGTTACATAGACTGTTGCCCTTGGTGGAGGCTGGAGTGTTGGCAGCCAGCAGGCACAGGGCCAGTGTCAACCCCAAGTCTCAGGATCTCGTGCCCCCACAAAGGTAGCCTGTTCTCTCCCACCAGGCCAGTTTGCAAACGAAGGCTGTGTTTTGCCCTGGGGGGCAGGCACAATGCCCAGCCTGTAGGGGTGCACAGAGCTGCTCTGTGCCCGTAAAAAATGCTCCCTCTTCCTGTGGCAAGTTAGACCTGTGGCTGGGGGCCAGGACCCCTCCACTCAGAGGAAGGAAGCGGAGGAGGGGGGTGGTGTGCCTGAGCAGGCTAATGTGATAGGGTGCCCCCCAAGAGAGCGTGTTCCTGTGCAGGCATGTTGGGGACCCTGGGTTCCAAGTCCGAGTAGATACCACCTCCTGTGTCCCTCATCCTTTGCTAAAGAGCTTATTACTGGCTGATAGACCCAACCAGCTCAGTTGAAAGTTGGGGTGAATGTGACTACTGCATGCTCTGATCATCGCTGATCCCCCTGCCCCCTATGCTGTGCCCATAGATCTACCCAGACCCAGAGCTGGAGGTCCAAGTGTTAGGTTTGCCTATCCGCTGCATCCATAGTGAGGAGGGCTGCCGCTGGAGCGGGCCGCTTCGCCACCTCCAGGTGAGACTCTTGGGCTGGGGAGCTGGGACTAGCCCTCACTGGGCCGGTGCTGACTGAGCCTCTCCCATCAGGGCCACTTGAACACTTGCAGCTTCAATGTAGTCCCCTGCCCTAATCGCTGCCCAGCCAAGCTGAGCCGGCGTGATCTGCCTGCCCACTTGCAGCACGACTGCCCTAAGCGCCGCCTCAAGTGTGAATTCTGTGGCTGTGACTTCAGTGGAGAGGCCTACGAGGTAGGTGGGTCCAGGGTGAAGGGAGGGTGAGGCACCTAGGAGCCCAGGAATCCCTTACTTAACTCAGCCCCTGTGCTATTTTTAGAGTCACGAGGGCATGTGCCCCCAGGAGAGTGTATACTGTGAGAACAAGTGTGGTGCCCGCATGATGAGGCGACTGTTGGCCCAGCATGCTACTTCTGAGTGCCCCAAGCGCACCCAGCCTTGTGCCTACTGTACCAAGGAGTTTGTTTTTGACACCATTCAGGTGAGGCCCTTATTGACCTGTGTGCTTTGAGATTGGGAAACAAGAATCCGGTTATTGACCACTGCTTCTGTCTCTGGTCCTAGAGCCATCAGTACCAGTGCCCGCGGTTGCCTGTTCCTTGCCCGAACCAGTGTGGCGTGGGCACCGTGGCTCGGGAGGACCTGCCCAGCCACCTGAAGGATAGCTGCAGTACTGCATTGGTGCTCTGCCCTTTCAAGGAGTCCGGCTGTAAGCACAGGGTGAGATGCCCCTTTCTCGGCCCCCTTTAGCCCTTCAAGTCCTAGACAGAAAACCATTTGCTGGCACAGCTGAGGCCTTGATGGGTCCTGCTGCTTCCCAGCACCCTCTGTCATCGTCCTGTGGAATTGGGTGCCCGCTACCCCTACCTGCTTCTTCTCTCCCCTGGACCTTCCTCTTTTGGTAACTTTTTCCTTCCCCCATGGCCTTGGGTTTTGCCAACAGTGCCCTAAACTGGCAATGGCACGTCACGTGGAGGAGAGTGTAAAGCCGCATCTGGCTATGATGTGTGCCCTGGTGAGCCGGCAGCGGCAAGAGCTGCAGGAGCTGCGAAGAGAGCTGGAGGAGCTGTCCATAGGCAGTGATGGCGTGCTCATCTGGAAGATCGGCAGCTATGGGCGCCGTCTCCAAGAGGCCAAGGCCAAGCCTAACCTGGAGTGCTTCAGCCCAGCCTTTTACACACATAAGTACGGTTACAAGCTGCAGGTGTCTGCGTTCCTCAACGGCAACGGCAGCGGTGAGGGCACGCATCTCTCCATCTATATTCGTGTGTTACCAGGCGCCTTTGACAATCTCCTTGAGTGGCCCTTTGCCCGTCGGGTCACCTTCTCCCTGTTGGATCAGAGCGACCCGGGTCTGGCAAAGCCACAGCATGTCACTGAGACCTTCCACCCTGATCCAAACTGGAAGAACTTCCAAAAGCCCGGCACTTGGCGAGGCTCCCTGGATGAGAGTTCTCTGGGCTTTGGCTACCCTAAATTCATCTCCCACCAGGACATCCGAAAGCGAAATTATGTGCGGGATGATGCGGTCTTCATCCGTGCCTCTGTCGAACTGCCCCGGAAGATCCTCAGCTGAGAGTACAGCCTTCTGGGTCTAAGCAGGAAGGGGGGTGGGACAGGATCTCAGCCACTGGCGGACATGGGAGAGGGGGCCGGACCCCCTCTCGGCTTCTTTTGCCTAGGTTGTTAGCCCACCACTTTGTCCCCACCACCACTACCACCGCCACCCTTACCCCTCAGGTGCCTCCAATTGGTGCTTCAGCCCTGGCCCCTGGGGGGAGCAGGTCTGGGGTTATCAAGGGCTGGAAACAAGTGATCCCAGGGCCTGTCTCCCCTCCTGGGCAGGGCAGACATGCCTTGGTGCCAGCCACATTCTACCTGGACTGAGGGGCCTGCTCAGGTGCTATGTCCCAAGAGCCATAGTGGGGGTGGGGGGGTATTGGAAAAGGGAGGGGTAGTTATAAGAATCTGCCTTGAGATGAATTTCTCTTTCCGCTTACCCAATGCCGCCCTCTCTGGTTATTTATTTCTTCAGTGCTAGGAGGGCACAGCAGGGGAACTCTGATTTTTAATAAATCCTGGATTGTATTTATTAACTTGATTCCAGCCTGTCTCCTCCCAGTTGGCTAGGGTTCTGGGAGGCTGGGCTCCACATAAGGAAGGGGTAACTGCTGCTCTGTTTGCAGCTGGACCTCTGGTGGACAACATGGGAATTGGCAGCGAGCGTTCTGTGGGCATGCCACCTGCAGCTGCCCTCTGGTGGTTCAATGGGTGGATGCAGGGACGGCTTCTCCTAAAGCTGGCGTTTCTAGTCACTACCTCACCAAAGACAAGCGTTCTGCATAGGCAGGTGTTGTCTTTCCCAGTATTCACCATGTGTATACACACGTGCAGGCCAAAGGTCCATGTTCAGTGTCTTACTCAGTTACTTGCCACCTCTTTGAGTCAGGATCAAAAGCCCCAGCACTCTGATTCCACAAGACTAGTTGGCCAATGAGCTCCAAAGATCTTGACTGACCAGCACTAGGGTGTTACAGGTGTGAGTAGTTGTGTCCAGTTCTTTTACATAGGTGCTGGAAATACAAACTCAAGTTCTTGTATTTGTGTAAGTACTTCCACCAAGGAGACCCATCTTTTTGTTTTTTTGTTCGAAACCAGGTTTATCTGTGTAGTCCTAGCTGTCCTGGAACTTCCCTATAGATGAGACCCATCTGCCTCTGCCTTCCAAGTGCTGGGATTAAAGGCACACACCAATACTGCCTGGATTTCTGGGGCCTTTCTTGTGCTTGAGAGTCAAGTGAAACAGCTTTTATCATGAGAATAAATGGGCCTTCATGAAGAGTTAATGTGGCTGCATGTGCCCGACATTAAGAACTTAATGTTAGTCTACTCCAGGAGCAACAAGGGCCTTCGAGATGGACCAAGCACTTGAATTTTACCTGTAATCTCATTTGCTTTTTGTACAGTTTGGAATGGTTGCTGCCAACTATATACATTTCACTGGTCAACTAAGAGCAAAAGCCAAATTGACTCCTTCAGCTAGTCTTGGGGTAGGGTCTGGGATTCTATGTCCATCTGCCCCCCCCCCCAACTACTCAATTACATGTCCACTGCCTGGATTCATGACTAGGGGCATACAGCTCCAATCTGGGCATGTTTTTGCTGAATTACTTGGGTTATCTGCCCTTACTGGTAAAATAAATTTTGCAACTACTGGTTTTGGAATCTGATCATAACAGGAGCCAATGAAGAGCCTTACTCTTAGGGCCTAGACAGGAGGGTAAGGCTGTTCTGCAGAGGGAAGCCAAGAGAGAAAACAGGAGGGCTGGCTAGCTCCCCTCTAGGCTAGTATTTTCACTAAGCCAGGTCCCAGAGGTCCCTCATGACACCTTGCTAGACACAGCATGGAAACTAGAGAGAACCTTGGGCTTCAGCAGAGACACGGCCAAAGTACTGTCCCAGCATTTCAGAAACGTTTTAAGACAACTAACTGTATGACAGAAAGCTGTCATGGGGTTCAGACCAGGGTCTACACCAGGGCGTGAAGTGGACGCCCTGAGCACTAGCTTACCTTGATAGGTCTGACAGTGGGCAGCCTGGCTTTCTTTGCAGAACATTTGCCTGAAGGCAAACCACGAGAAAGGTACTCCGAAGTCCATGTGTTTTCACACCTGCTGATTAGCTTTCCCTGATCCCCACACCAAATCAAACTGTAGGCAAAGCCAAACGGTAAGAACCAAGCAGGTAAGTGCAACCTCCCCATCCCCATAAAAGAATTCTGTCTATGGAGCAATGTGAAAGAGGGTGAGGCGCTTCCTTGTTTAGATTACAGCAGAACTCCCTCTCACCTCTGTCAGAAGAAATAAATGGGAGGTTTATAATTTGGTGGAGACTGATGCCCACCTCTTAGGACCAACAGCCCTTGGAGTGGAAGTACCGCAGGGCTCTATGGGCCTCCACTGAGGCAGCAACCTCCGGCTGGGCCCCACTGAGGGCTTGACTAAACTGTCTGTATGTACGGGTATAACCTAAGGACGGATTCAGTGTGGGATGATCAACTGGGGAGCGTTTCTGAGGGATGAATAGGATATTGCCACCACCACAGAAACAAACTATTCCCCCTTTACTCAGGGGAACGTCACAGGCTGTCCTCAAGACAAAAACCACCTCAGGCATTCACCACATTAAAATAGGACAAGGTCAAGAGGAGGTTTTCTGTTTTACTGGTTTATAATTGAAAAAGAAAAATGCACCACACCCATAACCACCACAGGTGGGGTGAGCGGTGGGGAACAAGTGCTACAGTGTGAGCGGAAAGGGGACCCAGGTACTCCCTTCGGGTGGCACGGAGTGGAGGTGAGGCCCTGGCCTGGACCCTTATTGCTGGCTGGCTGGGGGGGGGGGGGGAATCAGGTCGAACTAGGAAACACCTTACATCAAAGCTGGGGCAGTAGTTCAGAGGGAAAGGGAACCACAATGTTTTCCATGCAGACTAGAGGTGGGAGTGAGGTGTGAGAGCCCCCAAGTTAGTGTCCGGTCAGTTTCCTCCGGTGGCAGCGCACTCGGGAGAATCTGGGGAGGGGGGGTTTACAAGAATATCGGAGCGGAGGTTATGCACGACATCACAGGAGATATTGGAACTCTTTAAATATGACACAGAAAATCTGCTGATGGAGGTGCCCTGGGTGAGGAGGCTGCACCAGAGGTTTGGGGGCTGGGGGACAGGGCAATAATACCAGTGTTCACAGACGGCAGGGAAACAATAAATTAGGACTTCATGTTGCTATCATTTGGCATAACACACTCAGGCATTGTTTTTTCCTTTTTTTTTTTTCTTTTTCCTTCTTTTAAATATAAGGCAACTTGCCAACACATAATTTAAAAGCTGAGCTTCGGTCACATTGCTTCAGATCACTACAGAATTTCTGGCTAAGGAACAGTGAGAATGAACCCAAGGCCTTCAGCTCACATTCCCCAAAGACAAGAGGAAAGACAAGGGCTTGTTGTTATTTTTAAAGCCCACTGTGCAACAGAAGACAGGTGCAAAACTTTTACAACAAAACAAGCTAAAGTTACAGAGAAGTGGTGAATTTCTAGACAGCTAATTGTCACTTGGGAATGAGACACACTGGTCCTGGAACAGATGGGAGCTGCTCTAAGAACGGGCAAGGGGCAAGAGGGGCTGTTTCCAATGTAAGCCCCTCTGCAGCGCTCAGAACCATGCTCATTTGGTAGAGGAAGAATTCAACGAGCTTAAGGCTTTGTGTTTTTCTTTTTGTTCTTCATTAAACTGAAGGGCTGCAAAATGTAAGGGTGGGTGTACCTGTGGGGCCACGCATACAAAATGCTCCTCAAACCACATTCATACAGAAACATGACATTTAAAACTTACAGTGTGGACCATAATTCTTAGCCAGTGTAGAGAACCACATGCAGTTTAACTTCTTTTTTAAATATATTTTTTTTTGGTGATTTTAATTCCAAACTCTAATGTGATCATCCTTTACCTATATCTAATTCTTCAAGTAAGGTAGTTTTTGTTTTGCTTTTTTTTTCCCCTTAAGGGGGAAGGGAGGCAGGGATGAGGACAGAAGTTGAGTTTGGAGAGAGCGACAGGTCACAGGTCGTCTTGGGAATGCCAGGTGGCCACTGCATTTCTCTGGAAAGGAAGTCAAAAATTAAGATGCCAACGCCAAGGTTTTCTGAGTCTCAAGGCTTCAGCAAGGCCAAGTACAGTGACTTGGGAGCAGCGTAAATGCAGAACCAAGCCTCGAGGAATGGAAGCAGCTGGGGAAGATGGAAGCTGGGTGTATTTTCATTTGACAGCTTTATGGGAGTAAATAATTAGATTCCAGAGCACTCAGAACGTCTGGCTTCTTAGTCCTAGACAGAGAAGCCTAACTTAAGGCTCTAGGCCACTTTCCTCAGCCATACCTCAGTCTCAGCAAAAGATGGCAAGAGCAACAAGTGGTCAAGGTGGAGACTGATTGACAGGCAGGTGCTGAGACAGAGTTAGCTTCTAAAGAAAACCAGGAGTAGTAGCTCGTGGGAGGAGAAAGGACCTTCTTCTGCCCCCAAAGGGACCCTGCCAAGTTCCCTTCCTTAGATACCTAAGGATGATCACACTGGAGCAGTGAAACTTTGAAACTATCCAGTTACTTCAAAGTAAGACTAAGCCTAGAAGGGTGCTGTATGGCGTGTTGCCTGAGGAGGGATCACGGCTCCCTATCTATACCCTGGGTGCTGAATATGAAGACTTCGACTATCTGTGGGATCGGGGGCTCGGGTGCCAGGGGCTCGGTGGGCCTTGCTCAACATGGCCAGGCTCTGTTCTCGGAAGCAGGCCTGCTGGAAATCCCCACTCAGGTAATCCACCGTTTGCATCAAGCTGTTCTGGCTTGCCACTGGCCCACCCCCAGTTCCCGCTCGGTAGTGGGCCCCAGGAGCTGCTGCACAGTCGAGGGGTGCACCTGTGGGCTGCCCAGCATGGAACGGCATGGCGAGGTCCTGAGACCCCGAGCTGTCGCTATTGGGAGTTGGTAGGATGTTGTTCCACAGGGGTTGGAAGTAGTGACCATTGGGATAGGCCAGTGGGGCCGGTAGGCCGTTGACAGGTGGGGATGGGGTCGGCTTCTCCAGGGAAGGCTTCAGATGGAAGGACTGCGCCAGGCAGAGTTCCTGCGGGTAGGCAGGGGCCTTGCCCACAAAACCTGGCCCTGCCAACTCGCGTCCTGCTGTATGTTTGCCTGTCAGGCCAGGGGCTGGTGTCCCACCAGCCTCGCTGCACATTTGCTGTAGATGGGCCAGCTGGTGCTGGTTCCAGGTAACTGGCTTGAGGTCGCTAGAGTAGCCAGTAGGGGCTCGAGAGATGCCTGTGGGCAGGTTGACAGGACCTGCAGCAGGCAGCACGGCTGTGGCCGCGTGGGTGTGCTCCATGGGATTGACCACACATGAAGGCATTGGTGTGGGGACGCTGTGGGTCGACACCCGGGTGCTTGCATTGATGAGCAGACTGCGACTAATGGGGCTGGGGTTGGCGATCTGGCCCTCACACACTGAGGTAGTGCTGATGCCTGCCCTCGTCTGGCAAAACTGGTTGATCTGGTGCACGATGCTGCTCAGGTCCGGGGGCTGGCTGTGTTGCAGGGTGGCCGCCATTGAAAGGGGGATAGTTGAGGTAGACACGGTCACATTTGGGGGTGCATCTGAGTCTGGCATCTTCCGGCCTCCATGCAGCAAGGGGTTAGGGGGATGCTGGAGACCCTGGTGAGTCAGGGCCTGCGGGTGGACCAAGCCCTGGGTTTGGGCTATTGGCTGAGGGTGGCCCAGGCCCTGAGGCTGCTGGAGGCTCTGAGGGTGAGACAGTGCCTGTGGTGGTGGTATACCCTGAGGGTGTTGCAGTGTCTGGGGAGGGGCATGGGCCAGGGTCTGTGCATGCTGCAGGGCCTGCTGGCGGGCCAGAGCCTGGGGGTGGGCTAAAGTGCTGGGTGCCACAGTAGCATAGGGTGCCACTGGGGGGTTCATGATGGCCTCAGGGAGGAACCGGGCTCGGGTGCCGTCAAAGTCCTTGAGTATGCTTTTGGCTGGCACTTTGACAATGGCAAGCAGGCCTGCCTTGGTGGCAGCCTGAGTCGGGTAGGGGCTGTAGCGCTGGGCTGATGTGTCGAGGCCGTTCACAGTACGACGAACGTGTTTCCGCTGAGGAACCTTCACACTGTTGGGGAAGATTTTTATAGTCAGTGGGTTGTTTGCGACCTTCTTAGCATACGCGTCCAATTCGGCTGGGGTAGGATAGTGAGCAGTTCTCATTTTCTGTGTAGTGTCCCCTAGAGAGAGGGAGAGAGAGAGAGAGAGAGAGAGAGGGAAGGAGAGCAGAGAGGAGGGGCTCATCAGTCCAAGCCAACCAGCCTTTCTAGAGCCTGCTGAAGCCGTCTGTAGCCTTCACTCGAGGTCAGTCACAGTCCCCAGAGTCTCGGCACAGCTGAAACTCACTGGGTGTGTACAGTAACCAGGCACTAGGGGACAGGCTGTCTAAATGACCCTCACTACAACCACAGGAGGCATGTGTACTGTGAGCCTGTTTTATGGATCTCTAAAGATCAGGATGGCAAAGCAACTTTCCAGGACTCCAGCTTGGAGATCCAGAGCCCATTCAGCCAGTTCTCACAGACATCACCAGAGCTCTTCAGTACGTGGGGCTCCGTTCCTACCCGCCATCATGGCGCTGCCTGTCAGCGCCCTCCTCAGTGAGTCATGACACTGGTAAAGGTCCTTCAGTCTGCAGTGGCCAGCGGAGCAGCTGGGGTGCCATGCCCATGGGTGGGCAGGCCCATCTGGCACAGAGAACAAGACACTTTTTCAGGAGAAGACGAGGAAGCTGCCAATGTCTCCCACTCACAAGCTCACTTCTGTTTACAGTGTATTTGGTGCCTGACTGGTTGGAGATCAAAAGGCTGTATTTATTTGCCTGTGTGGAGGGAGGGTGACAACAAGTGACAGCAGCAGGGAGGGGCTGAGAATAAAGGATTCAGACCATCTCTACGTCTATGGGACTCAGTCTGAGCTGGCCTTCCTGTGGAGACTGCAGGAATATCCACTCACTGTGCCCCATTAATGGCAACACTCTCCTTGTTCTCATATCCGGGGCTTCCCATCGAGGGGCTCCAGCGGATGCCGGGTTTCCAATCCAGAAAGAAAAATTTCCCACGACAAGAGCTCTTTAAGTATGCCAGACTCCCTCCCTACAAGGGATCATTGCTGTTTTCTTCTCTAAGAGAAGGGGTCTACCCTAAGCATACACAAAAAGTACATCATTAACACTTGCTGAATGAGTAAGTATACACACTGCCCGAAGCAGAAGGAAAATGGCTTGGCACAGAGCCTGGGCTCAGCTGGCTGACTCTCCCCTGCTTCCTCCCTTGGCAGAAAGCAGCCAGGAAAGACCAAGGACTAATCTATTAAGTGCCCAGCTGGTAGCTTTGGTTGGCCTTGGCCCAAAGGAGACTCCATTCAAAGTCATGTCGCTGGGCATCAAATGGAGCAGAAGCAGACTTAGAGGAGCATGTTGGAAGAACTGGGTAGAAACAGCTCTTCTCTGAAGCAGGGAAAGAAAAAGTTCAAGTATAGGAGAAATGAATATGTGGTCTCATGCTCATAACAGCAGCACAGGGATGGAGATATAGCCAGTCCCGCCTGTGTCCCCATCTTATCAGCCTCTACTACTGTCAGCGCACCAACATTATTAGCCCTAGAACTCTTAGAAGAAACACCAGTGTCCCGGAAACACTGCAGACAACACAGCTTCAGAAGCACTCAATCATGCACCTGGCTATTGTTGAAGTTAGCAGCAGCAGCACAGGAGCACGGCTACATCAGCCCTGGCAGTGCCCTGAAGAACCCCCTTGTCCTGAAGGATCTTTACTAAGGACTCCTGGGCTTCACCAGAGGAGAATTTCAGGAATAGTGAGTATGAAGCAGAGTTAGCAGGTTCATGAAAAGATTACAATATAGATTTTAAGCATAAGGGTTGGGGAGGAGGAAGGCTTCCAGGAAAGATAAGAAATAGCTGAGCATAAGAATGGACAAGTCACCCCAATGTATATTTATGATGGTAAGTCACATTATTTACAGAGTGTAATTTACTATAAGATTTAAAGGTTGGAGAACTCTGCCAGGCATGGTGGCACATGCCTTTAATCCAAGCACTCAGGAGGCAGAGGTAGGCAGACCTGAGTTCGAGGCCAGCCTGGTGTAGAATGAGTTCCAGGTCAGCTAGGGCTACAGAGAAAACCTGACTTGGAAACCTCCCCAACACCATTGCTAAAAGAAAACAGAAGAAAAAGAAGAAAGGGTCCCAGGTTCAAGCTGGCTGAGCTGTGGTGGTTCACACACACAGAGTGTGTGCAATTACCAGTTGGAGACAGAAGCAGAAGTCTGGCCTTGAGTTCCAAGCCAGCCTGGGCTGCAGAGTGAGATCCTGAGTTAAAAAGTAAAAAAAGCACAAACAAACAAAAACACCTTCCCGGCAAGCCTGAGTATTCACCAGGCTGCTACAGACAGTAGCGTTTTGCTGCTGACCCCAGCACAGTGCCTCCCTAGACAGGCGGCACAGCTGGGGAGTGTCAGGACAGTATTACCAAACAACAACTAGGACCTCCCTGAGCAACAGGAGCCAAAAGTGCTGGGCTTTATTTAGTTCAGACAGAACATGTAGACCTGTTTCTCCACCTCTACTTGAGATCCGCGCAGAGGACCTGGTATGAGAAGTGGTTTGCGGACTGAAGTTCTCTGCTCAAAGTGAGCATCACTCCTCAGGGCTTTTCCTAGCATGGCATTCTTCTGATGCTGACCGTGAAGAAAGGTCGAGAGGGAGGGTGCAGATGGGTAACTCCTGCTGGAGAAGATCCCTGAGTGACTAGCACACTGAACAAGAGTGCCCTTACTCCAGAATAACCACCATTCACGCCATACTAGATTGAAGTAAGCATTAAGCTTAGTCCTTAAAAAAATAAAAAAGCCCAACACAGACCTTTTCCTCTTTTTCTGGGTCTCTGATACCTCATGCTGACCTTGAAAGCCTTACCCTTCTGCCTCTACTTCTGATGCCACCACCATCACACCACATTACACTGCTCTTTTGAACCAAGGTCCCACAATGCAGACAGGGCTGTTCCTGACTTCTGATTCCTTTGCCATGGCCTCTCAAATGCTTAGATTTAGAGGCATGGTTTCCTATTTGGTTTTTGGAGATAAGACCTCACTATGTAGTTCTGCTTGGGCTTGAATCCTTGACCTAAATACGGGGTGCCACCATGCTTGGCGTCTTGTGAGCGTGTTCTTATGGTGCCCCTCCCATGTATACAGGCTCACCGGAACCTTACTTCCGGAACAACTTCCTCTAACCACAGATAATACATCTTCGGTTTTATCTAAAAAGAAAAAGCTGTCTTAAATAGCTGGTGCAGCTATAATACAAATACAGGGCAGCATAGAGAACTGGCAATCCGTGGCTACAACAACAGTTTCCACCTAACGTCAAACCATGGCTCTACCATTTAACAACTGAAGACTCAGTGTGGTCCTCATTTGTCAATAGAAATGAAACCTGCTTTACTATGTTACAAAATTACTAATATTAAGAGACTCAAGCAGAAAAAATGTGGTGTGAACATGAATCCTAGCTGTTTATAGTTATTCAAGAAAAGCAGATTAGGCAGAGTCTGCCCAGTCAGAACAAAGGAACTGATCAAGGAAGCAGCAAATGTAGGACCCCCGAACTTCAAGCTGAGTTAAATGTCAGAAAGCAGTTGCCTAATCTAAGGCAGGGAGGGAGTGTGTATGTGTGGTTTGTAAATCCAGTTTCTTCCAGGGAGCTCCTTGGTTTTCCTTTTGTTTTGAGGTGTGGCAGAAATGTGGAACCCACAGGTAGAAGGCCTGGGAGTCTGACAGGAGCAAGTGCTAGCCCAGCAATGGATAGTCATGTGACATGCAAGCGCCATGTGAAAGACAGCAAGGAGCAGGATCCACTGACTCATACTGTACTCTGCACTCTTAGCAGCTCATGAATGGCAGGTCATCCTGGGTTAGAGGAACGCCCTGTCTCTGAAAACTAACAAAAAGAGCAAGAAGAGTCTCCCATGTAGAATTACTGAATAGGACAGAGAGGCCCAGCAGGTAAAGTTCTTACTCTTTGTGCAAGCCAGGCAACCTAATTTAGATTCTAGGAACTCGGGGTGAAAGGAAAGATCAACTCCTGAAAATTATCCTTGAACTTCACAAATGTACCACAAAAACATGCATGGATCTCCACACATACCCATACAAGCACACATACACTTCATACAGAAACACAAGTAGCAGCTGGGTTGTGGTGGCGCATGCCTTTAATCCGAGCACTCAGGAGACAGAGACAAGCGGATCTTCATGAGTTTGAGGCCAGCCTGGTCTACAAAGTATTGAATTCCAGAACAGGCTACAAAGCTGCAGAGAAATCTTGTCTCAAAAAAAAAAATAAAATAAAATAAATAAATAAACTAAAACAAAACAGCACAACACAAAACAAACAAAAACCCCACAAGGTAAAAAAAAAAATTAAAAATATATATGTGGGGACTGAAGAGATGGCTTAAAAGCACTGGTTGCTCTTCCAGAGGACTGAGTTTGGTTCCTAGCACCAATATAGCGACTTACAACATGCGCACGTACCCCCACACCCCCCACACCCTGTAGTCTTCTTATTTGGGAGTCTAGGAAAGAAGGATCACTGCCCAGGCGTTTGAGACCATCCTGGGCAACATGGTGAACAAACTCAACAAAACAAACATATATAAAAAGTGTAATAGAGCACCTAACTCACAGTAGTTGGTGCAGTAACCGAAACAATCAAGGTCTTCCACTAGGGGGCATGCTGATATCTGAAGAAATAAAGTCATTTCAGTATTTGTTCCAGGCCCTCCCAAGGCTCCACATGCAGAATGTAAACTAAAAAATGATATGTTAGGTGCTAGAAAGATGGCTCAGTAGTTAAGGGCACCAGTTGCTCTTCCAGAGGATCCAGGTTCGATTCCCAGCACCCACACGACAGCTGGCAACCTTCTGCTACACTAATTGCTGGGGATCTGATGCCCCCTTCTGGCCTCTGTGATCATCAGGAATGCAAGTGGTACATAATAGACATATGGGACAAAATACCCATAGACATCCAATTTTTAAAAAAGCTAGCATGCTAGCTAGGTATGGTAATGTACACGTGTGATCCCAACACTTGGGGAGGCAGATGCAGGAGAATCGGGAGTCAAGATCATTTGTGGCTACAAAGTTGAAGGATCGCTTGGGATGCTTAAGTAAGACTCTGATTAAAGCTGGGCTGGTGGCACATGCTTTTAATCCCAGCACTTAGGAAGCTGATAAAGGTGGATCTTTGAATTTGAAGCCAGCCTGCTCTACAAAGCAAGTTCCAGGACCATCAGGGCTACAGAGAAACACTGTCTTGAAAAACAAAACAAACAAATCTTTCTTAAAACGAACAGAAACAGGCCAGGCAGTGGTGGCGCACGCCTTTAATCCCAGCCCTCGGGAGGCAGAGGCAGGCGGATCTCTGTGAGTTAGAGGCCAGCCTGGTCTACAAGAGCTAGTTCCAGGACAGGCTCCAAAACCACAGAGAAACCCTGTCTCGAAAAACAAAAACAACAACAACAACAACAAAAACCCAAAACGAACAGAAACAGAAGAACAATCTAACAACAAAAAGGACAACGAGAAGACCTTGATTGTTTTGGTCACTGCACCAACTATTGTGATGAGCCACTGCTGTGTCCTGGTGCTGAGCTAGAAAAGTGAGCAAATGGGCTTAAGGTTAAGGAAAAAAGAGAATTCCAAAAATTACAATTTCTGGGAAAAGATGGGCCAGGAGAAAAATCAAAGTTACAAACAGAATTCCTAAACAGCTGCAGACTCTCAAAGCAAGGGACACCATGGCACACACAATCTTCAGATGTCCAAGAGGACATCCACCTGACTCAAGTATGCTCTTCACCAGACAGACCCCCTTGAAGCTGACATGTCTTAGGTTTGTTTTGGCTTTGAGGCAAAGTCTTGCTCTGTAGCTCAGGATGGTCCTGACTAGCAAAGCCTCCTGCCCCAGTTTGTCAAGCACTGGGATTACAGGGGGCACCCCATTTTGGACAATTCCCCCCTTGGTATCACTAAGCACCCTGTCATTGTATGTTATGTCTCCAAGTGTATTTCCTCTTAGCTGTGTTCTGAGGGTATTTGTTGGGATATCACAGAACACAGATTTATCACCCAGTCATCACTGGAGGTCTATCTGTGTGGTTGAGTACTTCCGGAGCATGCCAGGGACGGAGGGTGGGAGAGAGAAATGCTCCTTGAGGAAGCTCGCACAGCAGGACCGACTTCCAGAGTCAGACAAATTCAGAACCAAGGACGTGAGGTCCAAGTAGGTGTTTATTGTTGCTGATTTCTTTTGGGGAGGAGAGGGGTTGAGACAGGGTTTCTTTGTAGCCCTGGCTGTCCTGGAACTCACTCTGCCTGACTCTGCCTACCAAGTACTGAGAATTACAGGCCTGTACCAACATGCCCGATTTATTTGGTGCTGAGAACAAATACAGGACTTTGTGCAAGCTAAGTAAGCATTCCACCAAACTGAGCTCCACCCTCAGCGCCAACTTAATTTTACTTTTTTGTTCACTTTTCTGAGACTGGGTGGTCCTCACCAGCCTGGAACTTGCTATGTAGAACAGGCTGGCCTTGAACCCAGATATTCGCCTGCTTCTGCCTCCCAAACGGTGGGAATTAAACTTGTGTGCCACCATGCTTCACCTCTTGTTTTATTTTTACACACGGTTCAAGAGCTAAGCTGCCTAGATGTTATTGAACTTGAGATCTTCATGCCCCAGTCTTCCGAGTGGCTGACTTCATACCATGAAGACTGGTTTAACCGCTGGTTACAAACTCACGGTAACTGACTGCTCCACGCCCGCCTGGTGCAGCTTCCGTGTGCTTCTGTAGGAAATGTGACTGAGACAAACTACACTAGGCATGCTGTCTATGGTTGCTTCTGATCTACAATGGAAGAGCTAAGTAGATGACACACAAAGTTCAAAATATTGGCTTCTGACACAGAAGTTTGCTAATGGCTGCCATGAAGAACTTGGGTAGCCGGGCGGTGGTGGCGCACGTCTTTAATCCCAGCACTCGGGAGGCAGAGACAGGCGGATCTCTGTGAGTTCGAGGCCAGCCTGGTCTACAAGAGCTAGTTCCAGGACAGGCTCCAAAGCCACAGAGAAACCCTGTCTCGAAAAAGAAAAAAAAAAAAAAGAACTTGGGTAAACTGCACAGTATTAAAGAAAGCCCCCTTGCCTCACCAGCTGCCCCGTTTCGCTCTAAAAAGGTTTATTCCAAATTCAGGGCTGTTTTTACTTAGACACTATACATGGAAGAGAAAGTCAGAAATTAAGACTATTTCCCTCGACTATCAGAAGTAGGAAGCTGGGGAAAGCCTGAAACAATGCAGTTAAGACAGGAATCTAACAGTTCTCAGAGGTCCAATCTGCGGGACGTAGACTAGTAGACAAACACACCCACAGAAACCAAGGAAGTCAGCTCCTGACCCCTGGGGGTAAAGTTTATTTCTATGAGCAAAAGTCATGCTGGCTCACGGGGCAGAGAGCAAAGCCAAAGAGAGCTGTCTGTTTCCATGGCAGACCATATTCAGAGATCAAGAAATCACCAACAGTGTACACAGTCACTTTAGATACAAAAGTGAGCTGGACAATGAGTTTTCAGTCAGCTGCTCTCAGGGTTCAAAGGGAACATTTCTTTGAAGGGTCCTATGATACACATCCACTGAAGCGCTTGTGGCTTTGCTGTGAGCAGAAGGCTGCCAGTAACAAGTTCATACGCACTGGGAACTGTAGGATCTAAAAGTATCTCGCACTGCTGACAGACAGGGCCTTTGTGCCTGCTGTCCAGCAATGTCAGCTCATGAATATCTTGGAAGTAGCAAAAGTCATGGTCAGTGCATCACAGACGTGATGCTGGGACAGCCCTCATGTAGGACAAAACAGAAGCGCACACCCTTCCGTGGGAATCCAGCCTACTTACATTTCTGAAGTCCAGTGTTCATCTGCGTGTGAGAAAGAAGCTGAAAGGGCAGATCACCTGGCCCGGGTAGACAGGCTAGCATGGCAGACCAGCATCAACACAACATGGGGCAGTGGCTCACACTGTAATGAACAACAAAGAGTAAGGTCATGGGACGTAGGGCAACTTCTTCAAGGAAGGTACAAGGACATCTGATATGGGAGGCAGAGTGCAAAGTGTGGACAAATAAGCAACTTAATTAACAGCATGATGGTTAAAAACTTACCTAGAATTCTGTCTGTAGCAACGGTTCACTCTCAACCATTAACACAGCAAAAGTGATACTGCACTCGGTACATGTGTGAGTGAAGGAATAAAACGGGCGAGAGCTAGCAACGTAAACACACGTCTTTGTAACGCTTCCAAATTCTAAGAGCGCTGGCTTTGCAGGATTAGGCCTGCAGTTTTGGAGACCAGGGCAATGCAGTGCTTCTAGAAGTACAGTGAAGGATTTCAAAGACATTTCACACCTGATTTTTTTTTTTCTTTTTCAAGACAGGGTTTCTCTGTGTGGTCCTGGCTATCCTGGAAATCACTCTGTAGATCAGACTAGCCTTGAACTCAGAGATCTGCCTGTCTCTGTCTCCAAAGCTTTGGGATTAAAGGTTTGCACCACCACCCGTCTTGGGATGGGCTTTTAATGTAGCCAAAGTCTGTGATTCCTTGTTCTCCCAATTCAGTCTCTGAAAAAACTACACCTACACTGCAGACCCTGCAGATGGACTGACTGACTTCCTCACTGTGGAGGTGGAATGCTGCGGATCCAGGGCTGCAATGATGTTGGATTACCTTCAGTCCGCTAATCAGGAAGCTTTGTTGACTTGTTTGTTTGCCTCCCCTAGCGACATTTCCATCAATGCATTTACTCATGACTGTCTTGGTTATGTGACGATAAAGTTTATGAGACTATTTCTACTTGGAACATAATATTCAGGGCAATCTGAATCCCTGTTTATGTTCACCCATACTGGACTCAAAAAAAACAAAAAACAAAAACCAAGCAGCTGTATTTTCTTCTAACACTTTTTCTGTTCACACTCCTGACTTTGTTGACATTGTAGACTGCTACAAATTATGTTTGTGCTGGTGCTGAACACATGGAGTTTGAGAAGTTTGGAAATCTACTTTTAGTGTGTGTGCATGTGTGAGAAGTGTTGGCGCAGGTGGAGGATGGGCTGGTCCAGGCCTCTGTGTGTGTGTGTGTACACAGTTAGAGGCTATTAAAATGCCTATATCCAAAAGGAAAAGAAGGCCTGGACACAAATTTTACCTATTTTTAGGAGGTTTTCCTTACTATTGGTAATGTGAGGGCACACACGTGTCACAAAGCGCACTCTGGAAATGAGAGAACAACCCTGGGCTGCAGTTCTCTTCCACTCCTGACTACTGAGCCCTGGCTCTCAGGTCTGCAAGGCACGAGCTTTCAGTTTCTGTCTGTCATTATACTCTGCCCTGGTAGATGTGCTAGTTTTACACTACGTTGAAAAGTATCATTTGTTTCTGTATTTTAATCTCCACGGATGAGTGTCCTAAAAACATGAGTAGGCCACCACTGCAAGCAGCTACCCATCCACCTTCCATTACAGAACAGGCCTGAATTCTGAACCCGGTCGGGAGTGGTCACTGCAACCTGAGCAGAGCTACACAGAGAAGGAGTGCTTTAAATCACATTCATAATCAAGGGCAGAGCTGTCAGACTGGGTGGGATTTTGCTCATAAATATTTGACTTTGTGCCCAGAGCAAGACACTGAGAAGAAACCAGGAGGATGCTACTAACCACTCAATGAACAACTGGTGCCAGTCTTGTCAGGCACTTCTGAAAACTACAAGAGGAAAGGTTTCAAACTCACTGCATGGGCTAGCACTGCCCTGACACCAGAGCAGGGCAAGAACACCGTAAGGAAACCTCAGGGAGGGCCAGGAAGATGAAAGGCCGAGCAGGTAAAGGCACCTCCTGCTAATCTGAGTTCCATCTCCAGCTACCACATGATGAAGGAGAGAACTGACACTCTGTGCCATGGAAGCACCCACACCGTTCACACAAATGAATGCTTAAAACAAAACAAACCTCCAGGAGACTATCCCTGGTGAACACACACAGAAAAATTCCCTACAAAAATCACCTGCCGCAACCAAGTGGGGTTTATATTAAGGACGGAAAGATGATTCGACATACATAAACCTAAAGACGAACCACATTAATCAAATGAAAGACACACTATCCGCTGACAAAACTCAACATCCTTCTATGATTAGACCCTCCCCACAGATGGGGGCACACGAGCCCTGCACTACACAGGCTGACACAGGAGAATCATGACTTTCAGACTAATCCGAACCACAGAATGTGAACTTGTCTCAAGAACAACACAAAACAATTCAGGTATAGTAGAAACACCTCAAATAAAACAAAGGACACCTATTGAGCTCCTATAATTCCAGCACCACAGAGGTAAAGGCAGGAGGATGCTAAATTCCAAGCTAGCCTGTACTACCTACCGATATTTTAATCTCTGTTGAATAAAAATGAATGTCCCTAAAAAACGTAAATAACCAAGTTACATTGGTTGGAGACAACTAGTACAGGTTTTACAAATATGTTCATTATATCATATAACAAGCTTGAATTCTGAAGGCCAGGTGTGTGTGTGTGTGGCTCTGGAGCACATAAGATTTCTTATGCAATCTAGGAAAATGACCAACTACTGAGATACATCACCAGCCCTTGAAATATATGTTCTACAATAACATAGATACAAAAGAAAACCTTGCAATATTAAAGAAATCTTGGCTTTTAGGGTTCATCTATGTGAGTCGCTTATTGTCAGAACACTGCTACCAGACCATCCAATAAGCATTTACCCTTATGGTTGTGCGTTATTTAGTTGAATGTGGTTTGGTTGATCAATATTCATAATGGTTGAGGAACCCTGTTCCAGGTTCTGGTCAACTACACCCAAATGAGGAACACTGCACATTTCTGATTCTTCAAAGTTATAAATGTCCCATTCGTCAACCAAGACACACAGGGAACTCCAAGAGACAGAGTCACCTCTCCTACCATTATGCTGAGAAAAACTGGGATTAACACTGTAACTGTATTCCCACGAGTAAATACTCACTCAGTGCTTTGTTTCTGGGATTTAATGAGTCATCTCATTCCTCATCTATAAAATGCCAGGTCCTGAAAATGAAGAGATGTCTCGATTCTGTGAACTCTGAGGCAGTATCTATAGGCACTTCTGCTATTGCCTGGCCCTGAAAACTACTTTAAGACTACAGATGGAGTCAGGTGTACCTTTATTCCAGAAATTTTGAGGCAGAGGCAGGTGGATCTTTGAGTTCGAGGCCGGCCTGGTCTACACAACAAGTTCCAGGACAGCCAGGGCTACAAAGAGCGATCCTGTCTTGAAAAACAAAACAAAAAACCAAGGGGGAGGGGTGAAGACTGCACACAGTATACTCTTCTGGTATACACAAAACAAAGCTTATTTATGTCTGAATTAAGTCTGTTGGTTTTCCCCCAGAGAAAGTGAAAAGCAGACACTATGATAAACTTCTTCCTTAAGGTAAGACACAGGCTGGATTCTTATCATCTTCCACAATGTCCTTCGGAAGGTGTCAAACTATGTGGATGAAATATTACTCAAGATTACAATCATGTAGCACTTGGTTTTCAAGGCTCCTAGTCCCCCATGAAAAGCTTCTGGGTAACAGAACAATCACCTCCGGGAGAAACTGAGGCTGGTAGCTTGCCTGTATCTTCACATCTAGGAAAGCACTCTAGCACCTAACTTGGTGCACTACTAAAACTCCCAATGGTCGGCACAAATGATAGAGATAGAAGATTTTTACGTTTTAGAATATTTAGTCTTTTTTGTTCCATTTTTTTTTTCTTTTGGTTTTTCGAGACAGGGTTTCTCTGCGGCTTTGGAGCCTGTCCTGGAACTAGCTCTGTAGACCAACCAGGCTGGTCTTAAACTCACAGAGATCCGCCTGCCTCTGCCTCCCCAGTGCTGGGATCCATTTTGTTTTTGAGAGTCTTACTATCTAGCACTGGCCGGCCAGCCTGGCCTTGAACTCACGGAGATCTGCCTGATTCTGCCTCCACCCACGCACATTTAAGGCATGTGCCCCCAGAGTCCTTTAACTCGGCACTGACTATGGCAAAGCACAACAGATGTCGGGCAGACAAGTTGTTTTATTTGTTTGTTTTTCGAGATAGGGTTTCACTGTGCAGTTTGTCCTGGAACTCGCTCTGTAGACCAGGCTCTCCTCAGACTCAGAGATCCACCTGCCTCTGCCTCCTGAGTGCTGGGATTAAAAATATTAAAGCCACCACTGCTCAGCCAGGCAGGCTATTTCTAAGATTTGTCTTTTTTGTTTTTAAAATTCTGCGTGTGAACGCATAGATATATTCATGTAATACTCATGTAAAGGTGCTACAGAAGGCAGGTGTCAGACCTCCCTAGACCTGAAATTAGAGGCAGTTGTGAGCTACTTGACACAGATGCTCTAACCATTGGGCTATCTCTTCAGTCCCCACACAGCTTTCAAGAAAGCCTGGTGTGGTGCATGCCTATAATTCCTGCACTACAAAGTCAAGGCAGGAGTACTGTTGCAAATTCAAGGCCAGCTTGGCTTATACTCAAGTCGCTACCTTTAAGAAGGAAAAAGGTTCCTCAGTTCAGCTACAGTCTATGTAATTTTACAGACTGCAGTCATAACCTGAATTAAAAAGGGCTTTTACAACCTTAGCAATGGTAGGCTCTGGCAAAGCAGTGTTTGGAGGTCAGCAATGTAAGCTGCACATTTATAGCCTTTTCCTCTTCCTCACAATGGCACACAAGCACAAAAGGCCAGAATTCCACAGGTAACTCCCTTACCAAGGTCACTAATCCAGTCTAGATGTGACTTCCAAGTGTGAAGGGTGACAAAAAGGTCACTCGGAAAGCTTGTTCTATTCTAAGTACACAACTCACAAGGTGTTACTTGGAAACAGCCTAGACGCCATTTTGAGGTTGTGGATAGCCATGTTCTAGGTCCACGGCATCGGCATCCATCATGACACCTGATGGTGCT